AAATGTGTGTTATATATATCACAATAAAAAAGCAAATTCGAGTAATATTCAATATCAGATAGACGGTTTGCACGCTGTCTGGTGGGGGCTACACGTTCTATTTGCTTTTGGTTACTCTGTTTATTAAATAAATAGTAAATAATAAAAAAAAGAATTATTTAAGGCCTGGGCAATTACGATAGTGGCGGTGCACAGTACCTATCTCATGAAGATTCAATCAAATTGGCTACTTGAGCGCATTGAATGAAAACCGACCGATTTGCATATGGTTACGTTTTTTTTTCTCTCGAAATCGTTTGAAAATTCAGTGAAATTGATAAATGAATCCAAAGAATTATGAAGAAACCGAGAGAAAAAAAAGCGAAGCGAGAAAGAGTTCTCATCATCAACCCTCAGTTGGTTACACTAATTGCGCGGTGCCAGTTGAATATCTTTCGCAATCGCATTTCTCTCACTGTGTGTGTCGCTTTTACTCTACCATTCTCTGGGCCCACTGCTTAATAAATTCTAATTTATGGAATTATCCAACAATTAAGCGAACCATTTAATATGGATCAGTGGCTCGTGTGAATATTTTCATATGTGTTTGTATTTATGTCCCAAATTAATCATATTTCTCTTTTTTTTTGCTATGCTGAACGCTGCCGCATATTGAAATGCAGCAAAATGGGATTAATTCAGAGCGCCTTTACCATTAAAATCCATTAAAAATCTGATGCCGTTCTCGGAAACACAGTGTTCATCGTCAAAAATCAACACCCAACATTCGAGGGAAAAAAATTATTCAACGAATTGCTTAATTGATTAAAAAAAACGCGCGAGCGCAATAAAATTGCTCGCTTTGTTTATGGCGTTGCATCTCGTTGCTGTTAATTGATATTTTGTGTTGAAATGCAACGTAATGGATGCAAATATAAATGACGAAATAAGCAGCATGTACATGGAAGTAGAAATGCTGATACTTGTATTCGAGCATCATTTCCATATTTCCCATGGCAGTATTAGATTAGACGAAGCATAATCACATTGATGTCGAGTGTATATACGTTTTTTGTTTTTTGAATTCCAAGTAAATCCTTATGAGTGCTTTTGTTCACTTTTGTTCTTGATACGATCGCTCATTTGTCTTTAAATGAGCTCGACAAACACTTAGCAATAGATTTACATGAGATTTAAAACATCAAGTAGCATTCATTAGTCCATCGGTTTTTTTTTTTCATATTCTCAATTCATTTGCCTTTCGTTTCGATGTGAATGAAATAGAACCAAATCTTTCGTTCACATTTCAAAATCAGTTCTCGTTGCGTGTATGTGAGACGAAGTGAATGTGTGTAAATAATTAAAATTCATATTTTATTAAACATGCAAACATTTCCAATTTCAAAACGATGAACGAGTCTTCTTGAACTTTTAAGAGTTTGCGAAAAATTAAACGGACAAATAAACATTTAACGAAAAGAACGAGAGAGAGAGAGAGAACAAAGAGAGGTATAGAAAGAGAACGGGAAAGAGACAAGAGAAAGAATGGGAGCAAGAGATAGGAAAAAAGAGGAAAGATAGATAGAGCGAAAAAAACATAAAAGAACCGATTATATGGGAACGATTTGGTCATAAACTTATAAAAAAAGACTATCTATATATCAACGGTCGAGTTATACAAAACTATCAACCGTTGAAATAAAACGGGCAAACGTCTAAAAAAAGGTAATAGAAAAAATGTTTGTATGTGATTTGTGTTGCGTTTCCACTTCATATTTGCTGTTGTTATTGTGTTTATTTTCCCTCGTTCTTTCTTTGCGACCGTTCATATTCCTTTTCTGTATCATCGGTCCTGTTCTCTCATGTAATATTCATCGGTTGTGAATGTTACCATTACACGGGGAGATGATGTCATTTTTATAGCCGGTATTGACGTATGCGACTCGCGATCGCGAGCAACTGCTACTATACTTCAGATTCGGGTAACCGTGATTAGTTTTTTTTCGTTAAATGCGCATTCCGTTCGTATTGATAATAATGCGAGACCGAATGAGATAGCGATACGAATAGTGAAAAAAAAGACGACGGTTAAAGTACATACATTCGAATGAAGTGAAAAAAAAAAAGAGAATACGTTTGTTTGAATTCCTCTTTTCTTTGAAGATGGTTTTTTTTCTCTCTTTTGGATTGGTCATTTGTTGTTGTTTTCATACATATATTTGGGTAGAATAGCGCGTCACGGATTGCATACTCAATGATTCGTTTCGTCTTCATTGTTAAAGTGGCACTGTGTATACACACATACAAATCGTAACACATGCCATCGAATGGATTGACAAAAATATACAGATGACTCAATGGCTTTAGCATGCGGAGATCGTTAATTATTCGTTTTCATGCATTGGGGCCCATTGGGCTGTCTGTTGCGTCCAATGAAACAAAGAATAACTCAGATTTCATCGTTTTATTGTTGTGTGATGACAAAAAAAATCAATTTCAATTCAAACATAATTTATTGCTTAATTTCGGACGCTTGAATTTGGCTCCACATTTCTTCTTATTGTCACACTCAATAATAACAAATGTTGGGGTTTTTTTTCATCACCACAATATTCAAACGAAATTCTCTTCAATTTACAAATCACGTGATTTGAAATGAATTGCATGTCAAACAGATGAAAGAGCAGAATGGAAACAAACGGAATAATATCGCGCGCTGGGATGAAAACAAATGTGATAAACTATGTGAATATATGAAAGAAACTAGGAACTTAATTGTCTGTTAAAAATTGATCATAACATTGTTTAATAAATCTGAAAAGATATAAATATTGTTATGCAATGTGAAGCAATATTAAATTGAATGTCAGAGTGGAAATAAAATGAGCGCTCACAATTGAACACAAAATGAATTGACCTTTGCTGATTCCATTTCGATTTTACACGATGCAATTTTGTTCCAGTTTGTTTTTTTCCTCTTTTCTCGCTTCATGATTTCAAACCGTAAACGAAGACAGCAGGATTATTTTACACGAAGAGAACGAGAGAGAGAGAGAGAGAGAGAGAGAGTCAACCGATTGGAAGTTTACAGTACGAATCACGTATTAAAGTTATTATGTTCTGTTCATGAGCACATAAACACAAAAGCCATGCTCAACACACAAGCCACACAATGTTCGATGCAAAATATCTGCAATAGAGAAATTATTATCGAAGTTTTCAATTTCATTTTGCCGAATGGGAACCTTTCCTCTCTTTTTCTCTCTCACTCACATTCGATTCGTTTCGGCCGTGCTGTTTTTTCTCTTTCGCTTCGTTTATTTGTAAAGTTGTGATTGTAATTTGCATTTGACATGAGTAACATTTTTATCGATAAATAAATAATAACGTTTTTTTTTCTCTCGTCCAAATTGAGCAAAATTGCATGTTTCAATACTCTCAATGGATAAAATAAGTGAGTGAGTGAGTGCAGTGTGTTTGTGGATATGATTCCATTGAAGTGGAAATGGTAACCCAAAACGACATTATAAAATGTAAATATTTTACTAATGGCTCACAGTTAATGCTCTATGGCATGCGGGGATCGGTACATTTTGTGCACGATATGCACATATTGAACAAAATATGACGTGGCAGTATATAGGTCATCGCAATTTATTAATTTTAATGCTCGAAAATTGTTTATCTATCGAATGATGGCACATCGTATGCTATGTGCGCTTGATGACTCTTGTGCACAACACAAATGAGACATATAGACACAGCGTAAAAAGTGTCAGAGTGAGGAAGAGAACGAGGGAGAGAGAGAGCGTCAGCAAGAGCTGTGAAGATATGAAAATAAATAATGTGTTGTCGCATTCGAAATGCCCATTTAATCGAAATTATTATCTGACACACAAACAAATAATATGCGATGGTTTCGAATCATTGAAACAAGCGATTCGGTGCGCCACACAAATGAATGTGTGATCCAATTTCTAGGGAGAGGCCAAACCGAAAAAAAAACAAATTATTCACAATATATTCGTTCTCTCGCGCTCAGTGTGTATTGCGATGCATCGTTGAAGATGTTGCGCTTTGGTGGCGACCAGAAATACAAAATGCAAGATGAAAAATGTCTACTCGATGGAATTCTTCTTCTTTTATTTTGTGTGTATGTGACAAAAGAAACAAACTGCAATCGACTGAAGTCTCCATGTATATATTGTATAAATAAATATTGTTTGAAGAAAGAAAGAAAAAAAAGATGATTCTCGAAGAAGTATGTTTGGCATTTTAAGCTGTAAAGATACGGTATATTCGTGCGCTTTGCCATCGCCATGAACTTGATTTGTTGGAACCCACAATCGAATTGTAAAATCGGAGAAATAACACGAAAATAAAAGAAAAGGAATATCCAAACATATAAACGGGCACGACAACCAACAGAATAAACTGGAAATAGGCGCATTGTGCAATGCGCACACATGCATCGAAGCAACAGTCAACATACAACAACAGCCAAGATGGCAACAACAAAGAGACCAACCAAATTGCATTTCGCGCATCTCGCGCGCGCGCGCACACCACACAAGAAAAACGCGAAAAACTACAATATTTGCTCGAGCTACGAGCAACGAGAGGAGAGAAGGTTAAATATTTAACAATAAAGCAATGAATGCGATATCCAAAACGCGAGACAAATACGGACAAGAACAGACAAACACAAAACCAATTCCATTCAATGGAAAAACCAGTCATACGCTTACACTTCTAAGTGCAACTGCACACCAAAATAAAATAACAATAATAATGAACAGGCAAAACAAAAAAATAAAATGAAACAAAAAATAAGAATCGATTTGCAAGAGCCCGAAGAAAGGAGCTTGCAAATACATTTAAATCACACACACCAACAACAACGGAATAAAAATAATCATACACACATATAATATATGTGTTGAAATAAAGAGAAAAGAACACAAACATAAAAATAAATAAATAAAAAAAAGAAAATAAAACGAGTAAAATCATTTACATACTTTTCTTTGTGCTTCGGCAGCGAATCCGGATTTTGGTGCACGATTAATCGACATAATGAGGTGAAATTGTAGATGACAGCGGGTGTACGAAACCAACAAAAAAATAACAACAACAACAATATCTAACTAACAACTTATAAGAAAAAAACAACCCGAACAGTTGCGTTGTGTATCCGTGTGCAAGTTTAAATGACTCTTTTGTCTTCGATTTCGCTTGGAAATGACTTTTTGTCACAACAATTTTTTTCCTCGTATTTTCTTTCTTTCTGTTACTCTTTTATTCGCTGATTTATTATCTCGGCTCTGTATATCCAATATTTGATTTGGTTTTTATTTGTGTGAGTGGTTTTTTTTTCGTTTGCGTTGATGATGTGCAATATATATGTGGAATGAAAAATAAACGAAAAAAAGAACTATTAAAATTTTGCAATTTTTCGCAACAATAACTTAGCACTAGAAAATTTAATGCGAGCAAAAAAAGAAAAGAATTTAATTATAAAAAAAAAAACAGAACGAACAAAACGAAACGAAACGAATTAAGAAAAAATCCGAAAAAAGAAAACAAGTTAATCAATTAAAAAATGAATAAAACCGAATTGCAAAGATTACAGTTATTATGCGCTGGACGACGAAAGAGTCTTCGATCACCGTGTGTATTCGATACGAGCATTAAAATTTAACTGAAACCAAGTATGGTGAACTGCCGCTAAATAGGTACTTGTGCACACACACCGAACGATCCAGAGCACACATTCAATTATAACTCTCTTTGGCATATCGGCATGGAACGTGTTAACGAACAAACAATCAAACCGAAATATAAAAAAAAAATACTACAAAAACAACACAACACCACCACGAAAACAACAAGCAACAAGCAACCGAACAGAGCGGGCAAAAGAGTGAACAGAAGAATAAAAAGAAACACATGCGACGAAAAAAGGCGCACGGGATCGAAGAAGTGAACGAAGAAAATAAAAAGAACAATAAATAATGATGCGGCGAGCTCATTCGGCTATCGCATTCGCTATTGCCTTTTTGTCTTTGTGTGTGCGTGTGTATGCATGTTGTTCGTTGTTTTTGGTGTGCAAGTTGACTTTTAATGCAATACACATGTAAAGTGGCATTAATGCCATGTTCGCAGCGTGTATATATTTTGATTCGTCTTTCACTGGAGAGAGAGAAGCAAAATGCTTAACAACATATTGTTATCGTGGTCTGCTCATTACCTCACCGACGAACACCATTACAAGTTTTCGGCTTCTTATCGTGGCCAACCTTCTCACCTTGATTTTGCCGACGTCACACGCTATCAATGGAATTTTGTCTTGATTTGTTTGTAAATAGATTTTAATTACATTGGAATGTGTCAATTTTATGGAGTTTATACTCATAAACAATGGCATTGATTTAATAATAGCGAAACGTTCTAGTGTCGACAATTTGCATAGAAAAAAAAAACAAACCGAAATAATAAAATTTGATAAATAGAATTCTAGTACGGTTCTAGTATCATTTTTCAATTTGCCTACATTCAGGAGATTTCCAATCGAACATATGTTGTTTTCTTTAGAAAGCAAAGCTCTCGATTGGTTTAACTCCGTTCATATTTCGAATACGAAATGCACAATAAAACCGACGAGTTTGAAATTCAAACGGTCTTATGTTCAGTTGACGCCATAAATACCGAATGAAATATGGTGTTGATACTATAAGAAAAACACACACTCGAATTAAACTCATTTAAATTCAATAAATCTCGTCGCGACGTTGAAAAAACAAAAGAACAATGAAAGTGATATTGGCTGAAAAATCCAATTTTGAAACGAAAACAAAAAAAAAAACAATACCAACAACAAGAAAAGATCATCACAACAAACACGTTTAATGTTAATATAATGCGTTTGTGCGACAACGACGACGACAATAGCTGGAAATGTACGATTTATGTAGTGCTGAACCGACGCACATGTGTGCAGATGTCAAATGAATCCCTGAGATTGTGTCATTACATTAGATTGTTGTTGCTTGTTTTTCTATTTGTATTACGCATACTTGTAATGCCATTAGACTTTTTTCCGTTTTCCATAACATTGCTGCGTCTAGTGTAATCGCTTCGGATCGAATATGGGCTAAAAACAAATCCATTACCATTGTGTGTTACATAAATCTCAAACCATTTGCCCCATTACATTTATTTATGCAACGCATTTGAGATGCCGTGATATGCCGTCTGTGAAAACGACGAGAGAGAAGGAAAGAGGGGTGTGCATGAGCGCAAAAGAGAAAGAGTGATTGCGCGGGAAAGGGCGCAGAACAAAAATAATACAAAACGAGTGTCGAACATCGCAAGCATTTCACGGAATTTAAATAAGCTCATTATGGACGACACAAAGTGATAGTAATATGTGAGCTCAATGCTAAATGCGTCGACAATACCCATTTGAATCTCACACTCAATGTAAAGCCAGTGCTGGTGTGTCTTTTTCGGATTGAAGTAAAACAACTTATATCGAACTGTTGCCAGCGGTGAAAATAAACTTGCAGAAAATCCAAATGGATTTTCATACCTTTTCATAAATAAATACAATTCCAAAGCACATCCACTGTCGTTGTGCATCGCCATTATTGAAGTTTATGTTACTGAATAACTGCAAATTTTTGAACGCAAGGACTGGAATATAAATGCGACTGATAATCGCCAGCAACTCAAGATAAATTGCGTTTGAAACTTGTTTAGATGGTATTTAGATTTGGTTGCCATCATATCATTTTTACACATCATACCGTTTCAAAAAATGGCACGTTTTTACTTTCAAATTTTGCCAGGTGAATTTATATTTACCATAGACATTTGCACGATGAACGGACAAATTTTATTCCTTGCAAAAAACACCATCTATATCACATTGTTGTTCTTAATCTCTCCAATTTGCAATATACACAAAAACACTGATTCTGAGTAGGTAAAACATTCATTTTTATGTAAAATCCAAATATTTGTTTTTGATATACAATTGTAAAAAATTAAAAAAAAATTAATTATAACATTGGAATACAAAGATAATACAAAGAACACAATTTTTTTTTTAAATAATACCATTTTAGGAGATCGAATGTCTAGAAAGAACTTTACGAAAAGTTGGATGCTTCCAAAGTTGGAATACAAAGTGTTCATGGAACTGGCCAGTGATATCTACAAGTTTTTTTTTATTTAGAGTAGGAAATGTTAGATTCATTTCCATCGTACTCATATTCAGATTCACTATTTGAGTTCAATGGTAATTCTGGTTGGATTCCATTAAGCGACAATGAACGGTTCTTTATGAATGCATCGTCCTCAAATCCTTCGTCTTTCAAACAGGCAAGTATGAAATCGCAAACAATACTATCCGCGGTTGGTCGAGTCTCTGGTTCGTGCGCCAGCATTTTTTTAATGATCTGTAAATGGAATGAATGAATGTCTGGAGTACTGATGATTATTCTTGTATTATAAAACACTTACGATGAATAACGGATCATCTGAATCTTCCATGAAATCTGGAAATATTTTGCGGCCTGCATCGGTCAAAACGACATGTCTTTCCATATCAGTTGTGAATGGTGGATGAATCATTTCGAAAAAAATCATGCCCAATGAATAGATATCGGCTTTATTTCCATAGGTCGCATTCGATGCCTCTTGATCTCTCAATTCGGGTGCTATATAGTATGAAGTTCCTACAAGTCCAGTTTGTGAACTTCGGGCATTGGCGCTATTGGTGACTGGATTGTCTCTTTCACGTTGTTTCAAAATTAAATCGATTGTGGTGGCCAAACCGAAGTCAGCAATTTTCATACGACCATTAAAAGTCAGGAAAATATTTTGCGGATTTAAATCACGATGAATTATTCCCAATGAATGAAGATATGCCAAACCGCACACTATATCTTCAAGCCATGAACGACACATTGACTCTTTTCGATTGTGACATTTCTTGATTGCCCTCCTGCAAATAGATTGAAATTATGTATGCAATACATCAAATTGTGGAAAAATCTGTCTTTTACCTTAGATCCATTTCACATAATTCCATTTGAATGATTATCGTATCGGCATATTGTGGACCATCATTTGCAGACGTCGATGAACTATAAGTAAACGACCAAAATTAGTATTTAGTATGAATTTGAAAAATATCTTTAAAAAACTGATCATACTCATATGAAGAAGCTGAATTATATTCTCCGTTGAATATTGTTATGTCAAATCGATTCTTCAATTCCAGTGCATCCACAGTTTGCTCCCAACTAGTTATGTATTTCACCACATTTTCATGATTTAATTGTGAAATAAGTTCGACTTCACGTTTGACCTTATCGTATTTTCCTTTGCTACCCGTCGGCAATGTGATTAGTTTCAATGCATATTCTTGGCCACATTTACCTTGTGCTTGAACTGCATTTACCTTAAGCACACTTCCATACGCCCCTTCTCCCAATTTTTCTATGATTTGAAAATGATTTAAGAACGGCCCGTCATAGATGGTGTTTGCGTCACCAGTGTGAACATTGGATAAGTATGCATGTTTCAATAGATCCTTTGATTGTTCACATTGACACATTTTTATGAAATCTCGAGCGAAACTATCAACGATTTCATGTTTTGTTGCAACCAAAGATCCCAGTGCACGAATGTCAGTAACTGTTTGCACTGAAGATAACGTGCCTTTCAAATACATGAGGTACGGTATCAGATGGTAGTCGCCAACATGATATCTAGCTGATTTGCCAAGAAATATCGAACCATCGTTTATGTAGCCGTGTGTTATGCTGGGATTCATGCTGTGTAAATATGAAATCGCTTTCAATAACCATTCGGCAATTGGCGAAAGGCTCGGTAAAATCCCTTGATCGCTCATGCACTTAACACTGACTCCTTCAATGTATTCTTGCACCAAATTCACCGTAAGATAACCATCCAAAATTTCACAATTTACGTCTAAGTAACGCACCAAATTCGAATGCTTAACATTTTCGATGATAAATTTAGCTCGCGCTTGGAATGCTTCGACGACGTTATCACCATGATTAGAGCATTCACTTTCAATCGATATTTGAGCGCATGAAATTGGACATTTGCGTTTGATTGACTCAAGGTCAAACTTCCATGTTGTTATGAAAACATCTTTTCCATCACTTGATTGAGCCTTGTACGAATTGCATCCTTTTTTCGATGCACCTAATAAAAATAATAATAGTAAAGTTAACCAAAAAAGATTCGTATGAACGTTCATCAACTTTGGAGTGAAAGTTGTTTAAATTTCAAACCTACCCAAATACTGTATTTGATGATACACGTTTCCATTCTCAAAAGTTATTCCCTGGTTTGAAAGCATCTTCAATTTCAAGTTGAGAATATCACAGTCACAAACTTATTTTAATACACAAATTGCACGGAACAATTTTTTTTTCTCTTATTTAAATATTTTAAATTTTAAGAAAAAAAATTGTGAAATGTCAAACTGAACACAATTCAATCCATGTCTTTTTTCGGTTGATTTTATAAACATTTATTGCATGTTTTCCTGTCGGTGCATGCAAATACATGAATTGTCTTAAGCGCACTTTTTAATGTATGCATGACATTGCTGCGGTTTGTTTTGACTTTGAGGGGAAATAAATCTGTCATAGATCGTTTTTTCTCATTTCATTTTCATTGGTGCTGAGTCAAAAACGATCAACAGATGTCACTCTCAGCGACCATCTCATTTGAACGATCAACTGTTTGATATTTTGGTGTCTTATTGGATGAATATTTGCTTTATATTAGATAAACAATGTTATGTGGTCGTATTAAGTGCAGTTTTGATTTAAGTTTTGTATATATTTCTTTATTTAAAATTGGTATAATTAAAAGAAGTTTGACTTTAAACAAAAAAAAGATCAAAGTTCTGACTGTAATACGAAATAACAAATACTATCAAAAATTTCAAATTGACATTTTTTTTACGCAAGTAAAAAAAAACACCAATATATTTGGCAGGCCAAACAATACAGGCAATACAAAAAGTTATGTTTAATTTATGCAGACATTATATTGAGATATTTAGATTAGATCAAATGTCTCAATATAATGTCTGAATTTATGTCAATAGGTGTTTCGATTCCCTTTTTCCGTGGTTAACCCAAAATCATCTGAGTTCATTTCAGATTCGTATGTTGATATATTCGAAATCATAAGAAGTGATATTGTTCTTGTTTGATCAGAATCAGTTATAGAAATAAGAATTTTGACATAATTGGAGACAAAATGGTTGTGCACAATTATGCGTTATTAGATTTGAAATATTTCGATCTCAAGTAGCGCCTACGATGACATTGCCAAAGTACTTTTGCATATGGGCGTTGCTGTTGATCATGGTCCAGCATTCGCAGAATTGCCTTGAAATTGAATAAAACAATTAGTAATCATGATATAGTGTGTGTTTTTGTTTCGCATAACTCACTTGAAGCTGGACTTTGTATTTGTCCTCTTTCAATTTATCCGGAATGATGAGACTGTCGCGCACCTTTCTTAGCACTATGTCTCGCTCCATTCCTGTATCAAAACGTCCATGGCACATCTCCAAAAAGATAATGCCGAATGAGTATATATCTGCTTTTACAGAATAAATCGTATTTGATGCAGATACATTCGATAACTCTGGCGCAGAATAGTACGATGTCCCGACTGGGCCGGTTTGTGAACTACGAGTTTTGGCACTGCTTGGAGTGCGATAGGCTCGTTGTTGTTGTTGCAAAATCAATGCAGTTGTCGTGGCCAAACCGAAATCGGTAATTTTCACATTACCCGACCAATCAATCAATATATTTTCCGGCTTTAAAAAGAGAAAAAAAATTAAATGATAAAAAAAGTGGAAAAAAACTATTTTTTAACCTTTAAATCTCTGTGAATGATGTTCTTTTTCTGCAAATGATGAAGAGCCAAACATATCTGCGAAAAAATTCTCCAAGCATGTTTTTGAGAAAGATTCTCATTGATCAAAGCCCTGCAGAAGAAAAGAAAATGAAAAATAATTTTAAATTTAAAAACAAAACAGCAAGATACCTAAGATTTTTCGAACATAATTCCATTTGAATGACCATTGTATTTCGAATTGGACCCAACTGTGCTTCGTTTCTGTTGAGAAAAATGTGAAAAAAAAATATCGGAAACAGTGAAACCATTCAAACATGGAAATAATTCGATTTGATCAATGGATTAACTTAGAATCAGAGTCTGATGAAATCGGCTCCTCTTCGTCGGTATATTTATTTAGTTCCGTAAAATTGACGAATTGCTTCCAGCTGGTGATGTAACGCACAATGTAGCGATAATTAATGCTCCTCAATATCTCCACCTCACGTTCCATATGCTCCAAATCTTTCTTATCATTCTGGGGTATTTCAATAAATTTTATGGCGTACGGTCGTTGATCAGTGTGATATTTTGCTTGAAAAACATCACCAAAGCTCCCACCGCCCAACCATTTTTCGATTTCAAATTGTTCCAATAGTGCATTCCTATGAATTGGCTCACGTTTTTTTAACCCAATCATTACTCAAAAAAGAGTGTTCAAACAATTGTGAATGGTTCAAGACACGGCCCGAACAACACTTTTCGATAAAGTCATTTGTGGACTTGGAAATGATATCATCTAAAGAGCGGACAAGAAGACCCAACGCCCTGAAATCATTGACTCCATGAATGTCGTGCTTTTCATTCAAATACATCAGGTATGGAATTAAATCATAATCGGCAACACGAACGACTGCTGATTTATCAAGAAATATTGATTGGCTGTTCAAATAGTCATGAGTAATTTCGGGATTCATGTTATGGAGGTACTCGATGGCGTGTAGAACATTCTTAGCAATCGCTGGAACATTGGTCAGTTTGTCCTCTTCGCATAAATTTTTAATACTCGTCCCATCGACAAATTCTTGCTGCAAAATGACTCTGAATGTATCGTAACGAAATTCACAACACTCAGACGTGTATTTGACCAAATTGCGGTGATTTACTTTTTTAATCAAGTACTGCGCCCGATCTTCAAATGCCTGCTTTATTAATAAGGGTGTGTCTATGCCATGTCCCTTGCACTTGTCGGGCTTACCTATATTTGGACATGAAATCGGACATTTATCACGGATTTCGTCAACGTTGAACGTCCAATATGTTATAAAGGAATTTTCTCCGAAGTAACAATTATTGACTTTGAACGAATGACATCCTTTACTTGAACTATCTGAAAATGGTGAAATTTATGTTAGTTTTAAATTATTATTTTCATTAGAAATTCACTTACCGAAAACTTTCGTTCGGAATAGAGAATCGCCGATATACTTCACAAATTCACGATTATTGGATGACATTTTCAGATTATTTTTTGGAAAATATTGGATTAGCAAACTGCGCATTAAATATTATATATTCACTGTTGGCCGTCTCTTTGTGTTACTCTTCTTCTTCTCATTCTATTTCCAGCTTTTTTTTTATGCATTTGACATTCCTTACATAAACTTACTTTGGGCAACTTTTCTCATCAACACATTGAACAAGATACCCATCCGTATTTAAGAACACATCAGTTTTGCACTAGTTGATTACACTACGCCGCTTGTAGATGCAGTTCGGATACGCATCTGTGTGTAACTTTATTATGTCAACAAGAAACAAAAAGTTGTTATGATCCTGTAATAGTGAAAGTGACAGTGACAAAATAACTTATGCTGAATTAAAATTTGTTTTATCTCTGCACGAGAGATGGCAGTCGTGTAACAACTGCCAAAAATAATCTGGCATTATACCGAACTCAATAGTTTGATGACTATTTTTTTTTTTTTTTTTTTTTTTTCAAAAATTTAAATACGTAAATTTTATCATTGTTTTTTATAATTTCATTAAATAAGAAAAGAGATTCATAGAAAAGTAATTTTATATCAGATTTTCTCAAGAATTCCAAATAAAAAGTCGATTTGCAATTGGAACTAAATTAGAGTACGTTGTTATTCAGTCTACGTTATTTGTCCAAACATTTTTCAATTTGGTTGCAACAGACAAATTTTGAATTCCATTCGCCACTCACAGTCATCTGTCAAAAGTCCTGTCATTCATTTTAGCGGTGAAAAGAATTTCTCATAGACACAACAGAGAGATTGATTTATTGTGGCACGCATTACAATTACTTCACACCATAAACATTTTCGTTGATCGATAAAGTACGAAGCAATCAATATTTACTAGTTTTATTTTTTGGATTATCTATTCGGGTGAGTTGAAAATGAAATGAACAACACTCAAATAACATTACTAATGGCATTCAATTGTTCAGGATTCCATCGGTACATTTAAAAGAAGCATGGCGTCCACCATTTCGAAGATCAATTTTGATTTCAAAATTCCAAACATCAGTCAACTGAACACAATTGATTCTCCGAGTGTTGTTGTTCAAGGCGTGCCATGGTTCGTTCAAGTCCAGAAGCTTAACGGATCGCTTGCCATTTTCTTGCGATGCAAAGGCACGGGAAAATCGACAAATTGGTCATATGTTGCTCAAGCAACATTCAAATTGCTACCGTTCAACGGCAAAATGAAGGCAATTGAAAGAGATTTCGCCAATGTTTTTGACTATAAGAAACGAGGTTATGGTTATCAATCGATGATCAAATGGAATGATTTGTTCGACAAGGGAAAATTCTTCGTGCAAGATGATGCAATTAATTTGTCGATTGAAATTGAGGCTGCTGATGCAAATAATATCAATGCAAGCAAATTGATTGTGGACATCGACAAAAGTTCTGATGAAGGTTGTACTGCACGGCTGAAGATCGAAAATATCGACAAATTGATTGCGGTTAAATCTCATGACTTTCAATTAAACAATATGTCATGGTATTTAATAGTATCCAAATGGATGAATTGTCTAAATTTTCGGGTAGCTCAGATTTTAGAAGACGGCACACCAACTGAACTTCCGATGGATATTAAATGGTCGGTCAAAATAAATTCAACGAATATTGGACCAATTGAAGAGACAAAAAACGAGCGAATACTACCCGGAAATTTGTCACAGATAAATTTGATTTCCTGGAATGAATTGTGTCACAAGGAAAGTGGATTTGTTGTGAATAATTCGATTGTTATCGACATTCAATTGAAGGTTGAGAAACCAAAAGGTGCTGTTGATGTTCCAAAGGCGATAAAACGTAAAGCATCAACTGATGCGATACAATTGGAATGCGCAATTTGTTTACACAGCATTCGAGATCAAGCACTTGGTGTCACCCCATGCGGTCATATGTTCTGTTTACTATGCCTCGTAAAAACGGCTAAAATTCACAAAAAGTGCCCAACGTGCAATGACCGTGTCACTTCAAATCAAGTGAAACGCATCTTTTTGCCAATGTAAGTAGTGATCATTTTAGTGCAACGACTTCATTTCAAAAATTAATTTCTTTTCTACTCATTATAAAATTATAGCGTGAACTAGACCAAAATGAAACTGATCGAGATTCACCATTCAATTTACGGACTCGGCTTAACGATACATTAGCGATAGAAAAATCAACATAAAAAGTGTAATCTTATAACAAGATTATTATTCGATTAATTTGCGTTATTTTGGTACAAATATTCCAATCAAATGAAACCTTATTATGCTAGCATTATATATTTTTTACTAGATCAAGTGTGATGTATTTATGATACAATGTGCAAGTTTTTGTTACTGTTTTAGTATTAAGTTTAAACATGTCGTCATTGAAAACATCTCAAATATGAATTAAATTAACCTAAAATGAAAAGAAAATCTGCAGTTTTTATCATTTTCAAAGAATTTTTATTTGAAGCGATGTTCAACGTTGCCAGTTACTTTTTCAGTCAACGATGTGGAATTTTATTGTAATAATGTTCAAAGAATTGTCAAAATTGCACGCTTTGTATAAAGTTCGATGCGATATAAAATCGATGAGGAATCGCTTCATAGCTCTAGTGCTCGCATCAAATATGATATTCAACAGAGAATAAATTCCAACAAAAGCCACAAATATTGGTTTTGTTCACTCGATACGATAATAATCACATATGATTTGCTCTCTCAACATAATAGCTTCGGTGGTTTTCTTTGTCCAACTGACCGCATTGGGTTTAGTGACTGTTCGATTCGCCAAATGTTACTGTCTGCCATGGATACAATTGACAGTTATTACGACACATAAATTACAATAAATTGCCAATACACAATCATATTCATATTCATATTTAAATGAGATGCCACATTAACCGTCCATTTTGAGTCCATAACTTCAGTTGAACTGCACAAAAACAAGAGAAGACAATTGGACATATGCAAATTATAATGTTATTGCCAACGAATACATTGTCAGACATTAAATTAGTTGGAATGGAAACATAAGATGTCGATTTGTCATTTGCATGTTTTAATGCATTCAGATTTATAATGTAAGTGAACATCGTATGTCACTTGTGAAATGGCAAAATATTTTCCGCATTAAAGTACAACCACATTCAAGACAGAATCGTTGGAATATTAATTATGGTGTTGCACATAATATGATTCACAGTCAATTTGGACATACAAGAAGACTCACTTTCCGATTGATATACGGCGACAGTACCAGCATTCAATTCAAATCGAAGGTACTCAAATAAAACTGTCCTTACAAAATTTACCCGTACCAATTGTCGTTTGGAGATGAAAGTAATATAAACAAGCATTGTTCACAGGTTTCTCTTATGTTTCGAATCAATATCATCATTCATAAATGATTCGTGTCAAAATGGTAAATAGAATAAACAATTACCGTGATAAGCAACGAGAAGTCTCAAAAACATTCTTTTGTCTCACATACAAATGTTTGCAGTGATGTTTTTTCTTCTCCATTTTCTTTAAGTAACATATTTTAGACTCAAAACTAACATTTTCGGTTGAAAAAGATGTTTGGTCCAAAATATGGAAAACAATCGAATAAATATCACGAAAAAAAGTTTCGTTCAAAGAGTTTCAGGCAATAAATTAAAAATTTTGTCGGCTAATTTAACTTTGTAAAATAAAATGGTAAATTGCAGCAAAAGTAGCGGAAGAAATGACAAAATCTTCTCTAAAAACTTGAATTTTATGTGCTAGTAGGCAAATTACATTCAGCAAAAAAAAACAGAACGGACGGATTGTGAACGACAGCTCCACTTTTTATAGGTGAGTTGTCAACGATGTACTGAGTTCCTCATTTTTTATGGTTCGTAATAGGGAAATGTTTCTCAAAAAACTGTAAAAGTATTACATGGATGTGCACATTTTTCTAGGGGGTAGACACGTGGAATAGGATTAGACTTTTAGTGTAAAGATTCGAGAAATTTCAATGAAATAGCAACGTATGTGAATGGATTCGCGTGGAATAGTGAAACAGTACATGCAATAGCAAAAATTGTTTCACTTCAAATCCATTTGACATTTCTTTTGACGTTTATTGATGGATTAGTGGAAAAGTGTGGAATAGTGTGGAATAGCAGAATTAACATTTTTGACGGAAACAGTGCATGGAATAGGAAAAAAAGTTTCGATTCCACTTTTGTGTTTTTGGATTAGTGGAATAGCTGGATTAGTAATTTATATAGTGGATTCGGAATTTATTCTTGGTGTCTCCCCCCTAGACATTTTTGATATTTCCTTTGATATTAAAAATTCCACTCTATCAGTATCAAACTGTGTGGAGCTGTTGTACATGACGCTAATAAAATGTTCTGCCGAGCAATGGACGTATATAACATTGCTTAACATAAATATGCGACGAAGTCTCAATATATTTCGCGAGAGCGTACAATTATTTTGCCATTTTCTGTGTTTCGTGTCTATTTTCAAACTGACCATTTGTTGATAAAATCGAAAGAGCAAAAAACGTTCTAGCGAGAAAAAAAAATAAATTGCTACAAGAGAATTTTTCGAACGAAATAAAACACAGCAATTCATAAAGGGCTCATTTATCGTTGTTGCTGGAGTAGGAAAAGTCTGTGTTTGGCCAAGGAAAAAACTATGTTTTGATATTTATTTATCTAAAGGGATACTATTTATCTGAAGCGCTTGGCCTAGTTGTTCATTGTGCCAAATAAAAAAAATACCATGCTCAAAAATTTGTAGCGCGGGAAAAAAATCCACTTTTTCTAGTTGTGAAATGCAACATGAAAAAAATGATATAAAAAAATGGTGAGATGATGCACCAGCATGTGCACATAAGAATACGAGAGCAAGAGAGTTCCACGAATGCGATGTTATTGTGTTAAAAGCTTCCTGTTGAACGCGAAATTCCGGACTCGGGGTGCTGTTGTATTGTTTATTACAAATGCTGGGAAATATTTGCGGGAAAGCCATAGCGATTGTTTATGTTCGGTACGAGCGTGCATTTGTGCTAGCGTATAACATGTGTTACGTGTGGTCGCCATTCTCGAATTTGCCTTGAATATTGCAAGCGCGTCATTTTGTCGGAGACGTGCATTGAATGCTCGAACGAACGATAACAACCGAAATGAAAATGAGTTGAACGAACGAGCATGAGGAGTGTGATCAAAAATCCGTAACATATTTTCACGAAACGAGAGAAAAACGAACGACAACAACAAAAAATCATCGACGAAAATTATTGAAAATGCAGTAAATTACAGGGAATGAAATACAGTGAACAAAAACCAACCAGAAAAAAAATGCGCGCTCATTCTCGGCCACAGCCAATAAACTATACACTTTTTTCGATGCTATGGCTTTTGAATGAAGCACAAATTGGATGGTATGTGTGTGTGTATGCCACGCAATGAGTCATTGCCGTTTCTGCAACTTGAAATCAATATTGCATTTTGTTTGTTTGTCGGTTGGTTTATCTTTTTTGTATGCGTGCGATGCTCACAGAAAGATGCCAAATGCTTTTGTGGAAAGTGAGACAAATGCAATAATGAAATAGTTTCGAAATGAAATAAAACTCATCTTTTCAACACTATCAAATCCAACTATGTTCAAACGCCACACACAGCAACCAGAGAATTCAATTCAGGTTTTGTTATTTGCATTGTTAAAATTCTGTAGCAGTAACGCTGAATGGCCAAGATAGAGAGAGAGAGATACAGTGAAACAGAAAACCTCGAATATAAATTGTTTACATTCCACGCAGCAGTCATCGGCCATTAATTATCTCTGGAAAATATGTTCTAAATTCGTTTCTGGCTTCTCCATATGCCCGTAATCGGAAAATGACAGACTTGAAAGCTTGGTTTCTCTCTCATTTTAGCACTTGAATACTGCATAACTATCGTCGATATTCATACGGCAAACAAACCCACATCAAATGAAATGAACGCATCTGAATTGTGTTTATTTTACTGAAGTGATTTATTTCATGCATTGGCACGTTTCATCCAAAACGGATGCTGTGTCCATATTCAAATCTTGATAATATGAAATTTTGTTTGTTCGCCACCTGTAGTTGGGTGAATAAACGAAGTCATCATCATCCATCTTTATGGTCAGAGGAACTGTGCTTGTCTCTATGTGCCTGAAATAGAGGCAATCAAATTCAACAAAATGTTGGCCTTTGTTTGTAGATTTTTCGGCAATTTTTTTTAAACCAGAAATCAATTCATCTGACTCTCAAAGGCGAAAACAAAATCTATTCTGCATTGAAAACCAACAGGGGGGGGGGGGGTGATTTTAAGCTTCCAATTTATTTACATTCTCACCTTTAATTCACACACAAATGGTATTTTTGTTTGCCCATACAATGTTCAGGTATTGGAGAGTACAGCGTACGTTGTTGTCGCGTAGATATGTGCGTCCGCACTCTCGGTTAGAGATGTCAAATTGTGGCTTATGCAAAATATCTCCACATTTTACTCTTTGCATATTTTATTTCATTCGTTTACGGCCGAACTTTTTATTGTTTTTCTTGGTAATGATGATGGTGATGATATTTGTTTTGGTTGAAAAATGTTGTTTGGTTATTCAGCTCAGGCACCATGTATACATATAATCCATTGTATTGCTTTTGCCAATGCCACATGCACGTCGCAAATGCCTTGGAAAAACCATCAAAAATGTCAGTGTTAATTATGTTTCGAAAATACGCGTGCCAAACACTTTTACCATTGACTCTTGTTCATTCGGTTAATTCCTTACACACTCGGTACTCACACTCTTTATTATTACATAGACGCACATACATACGAATTCACATCGCAGACATTGTAGAGACACAATTTTGAATGCATAGATAATTAAGATCCCAAACGCTACATTTCAGCTTTGCCGAATTCTATCTCAATTCTCTCTTTCGCTCGTTCACTCGATGTCTATCACGTTCAAAAGCACCACCGATACGAATGGTTAAGCAAGTGTGCTTTTGGATTTATGTTCCCTCCAACTTATTCGATCCACTGCATAAATTGAGATTGATGGTTTCACATTTACATGTTTATAAAGATGTTGTTGCTATGTTTATCACGCAGAAAAGTCAAGCCTCATTCGGTCTCTCTCTCTCTCTCTGTTTGCCTCTGTCTCTGTCTCTCATTTGTTGATTTTCTTTGTCAAAACATGATGAGACTTTCAGTTAATCACCTCAAAAGCTGAAATCCAAAGCTTCGATGCGGTTTATTCAATCGTATCGGTTTTTGTTTTAGCATTGAGCACATGTACCGCACAATGTCGGT